ACAAAGGAGAGCAGCGCGCCAGAGAGTGTAATTGTTCGAATAGGGTGTTTTAACTAACCTCAACGGGCCTCTCCAATCGTGTTGAAAAATCAGGTCTTTCTGCGTTGTAGAGATAGTTGCGATTGTTTGTATCTAAATTTCGCACTATTATTTTTTTGGAATGCATAGAACGTAGGTCTGAAGTGGTTCTTTGAACAGTGCACATTTTGATCAAAGAACAATATAAGATGCGCAAAAGATTCAAAGAGCACTGCAGTGGATACAAATCCTGATGTGATCAAATCCTAGCTTAATCTCTAGAAATGAGCGTTCACAACTTCATCGTTTCGGAAGAATTCCTTTGGCGAGTTGCCAGTGAATCAGGGGATCCGTGCGGGTGTGTGCTCCCCTCCAGAACTACGTCAGCGATGTTTCACGCATCGATCCACTTCTCAACTACCTCCTAGCCTATGTATATGTCAGTGCATATGTGTCTGTGCCTCCGGCAACCCTTTCTACTGTGTGCTACCTTCTCCTCAGCAGCGACATCCTATTGACCGCAAGCCTAAAACAACGTGCGTCCTCTATAGACAACACTTAAGCTCCTAAGACGCAGACAAGACAGCGTTGTTCGCAAAAAGTGGACGTTCTTCGACATTAAAAGGCTGACAAACAACTTTCAAAAAGGCTAATTAGCAATTCTACGACGCTATGGGAGGCGCTTTTTTGTTTGTGTACCTCATGAATCATGCCGTTACTTTATTCTGCAACATGTGCTTTTGCTCTTCTCGACAATTCGCGTTTTGTACAATTTATTCATAATAGATCTCTATATCAATAAGTTAAATGTGCACTGTTCAAATCATCACATAAAATGGCAGTGAATGCAAAAGAAATTGGTCATCGACCGTCAACAAGGAACGATGGGCTTTGGGCGTTGTCGTCGTCGTACCACGGCATCATACCTGCTTGAGGGCGGCGTCTTCCTGCGGTAGCGTACATCCTCGTCAGCGCATCCTCTCGTGGATACCGAGCGTCGTATGCAGAAGGCACTATATTTCCGGACCATGTTCTTGCGGCTGGTCTCCCCATATATCCTGTGGGAACATTTTGGGAAAGCGCCGGCGGATAACTAGACCTCGAAGGCGTTTGATACTGTGCTTGGTAGTAGGAAGG